GGATGGATGGATGGATAGATAGATAGATAGATAGATAGATGATGGATGGATGGATGGATGGATGGATGGATGGATGGATGGATGGATAGATAGATGATAGATGGATGGATGGATGATAGATAGATTGGTTTGAGAAAAAAATAAAAGGAATAAGAAATAAAAACAAATCAATCATATTTTCTATTTATATTTTCATATTTTCTGTTTTAATTCTAGATAATTTTTGTTCTGTTTTTGTAGTTTGTATTATTATTATTTTTTTAAATATGTCTATATAGTTTTAAGGTTTAGTTTATAGTTTTAGTTTATTTACTTTAGTATATATATAGTTTAAATTATTTTAATATTGCAGATTAAACTAAAATAAAATGAGAAATTTTAATTGTTTAAATATTTTATTATGAAATAGAATGAAATATTTGAAATAGAACAGAAATATTTATTTTTAAATATTTGAAATTAAAAAATGAAAAACTGAAAACTAAAAAATAAATAAAAAATGAAATTTGAAAATAAATTTGTTTTTACAAAAAAAGTTTTTAATGATTTTATTAGATGTTATTAGATGTCATTTTAGTTGTTAATGTTTTTGCAATGCTTTTTTCTATTCATCGGTTGTTTATTTAACTTTGAGATGTGAATGATGCTTTTAGAAAATAAAAAAATATGCATGGATTAATCGTTTGCAATAAGATCAATAACATGCATTTAGAAAATAGATGGCGAATTTTCATTTCATGCAAACTTTAATTACACTCTGTGGCTGGTTGCTTAAATGGTTTAGACTAGTGTTAAAAGTTAGTTTCTTATTTGAGTTAGACTCATATGTAGTGGGTTTGCCCTACAACTGATCTAGAAACACAAACAATGCTGTCGCCTTTAGTTTGCTTTGCTAATTGTGCACCTTATTTCTGCTCAATACATGTCTTTGACACACATGTATCAAGGCATCATCACACACAAACACTGTACAGAACAATGCATGTGAAATCATGAAAAATAAATAGGAATATGACTACATTTTCTGATAACTGCATAAGATGTAGCTCATAAAACGTATTAATATATATAGTATATATCAGGATTATTATAGTTAAATATGACTAAATTCATTAAAATAAAATTGTTACTGGAAATAAAATAAACATTAACTGAAAAATCTTTATATATATATATATATATATTTATATTAGGGATGTAACGATTACCGGTTTGACGATAAATCGTGATAAAATACCCCACGGTTAGTATTACCGTTTCATATCTTAATTAAAACATACTGGTATATATTTAAATAGTATATAATGATTACCATATTCATCACAATAACGCTCTGTGGTACTTTAAAGTTGAGTTTTTTTAGTGCTGAGATGAAAAATAAATCTGCATTGGATGCATTTACACATTTTAATCAGCCGTATGGTTTTATTTATTCATGAAATGAGATGTGGGCATATGGGGCGCTTCTCTGTTTGGCGTGTGTGTGTGTTTGTGTGTGTGTGAGTGAGTGAGTGAGTGTGTGTGTGTGTGTGTGTGTGTGTGTGTGAGTGAGTGTGTGTGTGTGTGTGTGAGAGTGTGTGATCTCATTTAATGGTGGCTTAAGGAGCCAGAGATGCTGCTGTACGCTGGAAACTGATTGCCAGTAAACGCAGCGAATGTTGCGTTAGATTTCAGGCCAGATGTCACGATACTTTGTGCTCTAGTTTAATTAAAGCGCCTTTAAGCTACACTGATAGCAGAGCTCAGAACATATGAGAAACACGTCCCAGGACAAGCCACCAGGAACAAGGCGAGAATAACAAATATGTTTTAGACTCATTTCACATCCATAAAAAGAGAATGAACTCAATGTACGTCAGAAGCCACTTCAGAATGCAGCACGCTAAAGCTTTAGCTGCTAGAAAAACAAAGCCTGCTGGAAAACTAGATCAAAAGCTGAAAATCAAAATGAAAAAGCTATTAAAAAAATGCTTAGGTTTTGCCCCTACACATAAATCAAAAGAGAAAACCTAGATCAGTGTTATTTTACTATCATTCATATACTATTTTGAATAAATGTTTTTATTTAATTATTTTTTATTTATTTTAATTTTATTTAAAGTTTTATTAATTTTGTTTGTCATTTTTATTAGTTTTGTTTTTTAGATATTTAAAATGATTAAAATTGTATTTATTTATTTATTTTTATTTGTAGTTATTTTAGCAAATCAGGTTAAACTAAATGTTTACCTTAATGTGCTAAATAAAGTTCATGTTTCAGTAATTTTATGTTTGTCATTTAAATTTTATTTTATTTTTCTAATTTTAATTTTAATTTAATTTTAGTTAAAGTTTTAGCAATTTTTTATTTAATTTTGTAATTTTATTTAGTTTTAGTTATTTTAGCAAATAAAGTTACATTTAATGTTAAACTTGATGTGCTAAATCAAGTTAAACTTTTAGTAATTTTGTTGTTTTTGACATTTTTATTCAATTTAAATTTTTACAATTTAATTTTTTTAATTTGTTTATATATAGAACTTTCAATTGTAATAATTTATTTTATTTTATTTTTGTATTATTTTAGAACTTAAAAAAGAAAATTCATTATTATTATTATTATTATTATTATTATTATTATTATTATTATTATTATTATTATTATTATTATTATTATTATTATTATTATTATTAATGGTTCTAGTTTCAGTTATCTATAATAACCCTGACCTGAACAACTGTTTTGGGAATTCTGGGAAAACCTTTGCAAGGACGTGACGGTAAGTACTTTTCCACGTCAAAGACCGTTTTTATCAATATAAACGTTGCCGTGGATTTTAGTGTACGCACACTCTAAGATCAAATCTGTGCGTATGCACATTTTATAAATGAGGACCTGGGAGTGTTGATTTAACACTGGGGGTTTTACTGTGTAGTAAGTTTCATGTTGAGAGCGTTTAAAGGGGTCATATGATGCTGCTAAAAAGAACATTATTTTGTGTATTTGGTGTAATGAAATGTGTTTATGTGGTTTAAAGTTCAAAAAAACACTATTTTCCACATACTGTACATTAATGTTTCTCCTCTATGCCCCGCCTTTCTGAAACGCGTCGATTTTTACTTGAAATCGCATCATATGACCCCTTTAAGGGCTAAAAGACTTTCTGTTTTCAGACTCACTATCGTCTGAAGGATCGTGATTGTGAAACTGCGTGTGTGGCACAAAATCACGAGTGGAATGTTTTGGCACCGTTACAAAATAGTATCCAGTACATTTCACCACGGTTATGCAAGTAAATGCATGTCCTGAAATAGAGTGACATGCTGAACTGTGTTTTGTTGTGTGAGTGTGTGTTGTCTGAGACTGATGACTCACGGGTCTGCAGTGCGGTGGGTGGATCTGGAATGCAGCTCTGCATTATTGTTTTCTTTTATTTGCTGATTGATGATTAGTATTAAATATCATGAGTATGGAACGCCGTGTCGAAGCTGCGCGTCACGCGGAAAGTTCTCGGGCCAATCAGCTATAAGCGCTGCAGCGCGCGTTTTTATTTTGATTTAATAATTTTTATTTTTATTTTGAGGCAAAATGGTACATGCGAAAACTTTCATTCGCCTTATTTATATAACATTCTATTCTTAAATTTTTTTTTTAAAGCAAATACACTACATGCGAAAACTTTCATTCGCCTGATTTATATAGGCCTAGTTTTTATTTATTTGTTGTCCCCGTTGACTCTCTTCTGATTTATGGAGTGATCCAAAAATCTAAAACCCTTTAAAGCTAGTGTCAACAAAATGAAACAAGAATTTTGAAGCTGGAGTTATCCAGTGTTCACATTTCTGTTCTGGAAATGTATGCAAATTATTGCATATTTAAACCGATAATATTTATATAAGATTTCAGAAAACTATATATTATTATTATTATTATTATAGGGTAAAATCTATTAGTCAAACTTTTTCCCATATTCACCTCATGGTATTTGTTTATTTAGTAAACTTATTTTATTGATGAGATTTATTTAGTACATTATTTCTTTAGTTTTTAGAAGGAAAACACCTCATAAAATACATTTACTATCACGGCTTAATAGGGTTTATATAGGATTAAAAATAGAATTTACAACACAATGTAAAAAATGCAAATTTATAATAAAAAAAAAAAAAGTCTTACTGTTTTGTGATTAATCAGCTGGGGAAATATGATATCCATTAGCGAAACTAACTCACCTTCTGGTATTTGGTATTGACTAGTGTATCCAGTAATACATTTCCAGTTTATCTTTTGTCTCTCATTATTGACTAGGGCTGCCAATATTGTTTTTTTGCAACACTGAATTAAAAAATGAGAATTAGCATTAACCATGTTTATTTCGATAAAACAGTATCTCAGATTTGGTCATAGAAACTGTTCATATATGCTGCCATCAGCTGGTGAGAGACAGAAGCACACTCAGGTTCACATGTGAGAGCACATAGTTCTCTTTAATTATAAAACAACAGTATTCATTCATGATCAACAACCACACAGACTTCGATTCATGCATTATTATATAGCTTTCAATTAGGTTGACCTCTGATCAGACAAATTACAAAAACATGAACATACAAATGACAGATATAACGCGATATCTGCACACAATAAACAGCTGCTGTCACAATCTACACACGTCGCAACAGACAACGCTACTACGTACATTTCATATAACTTTAATATTTGGACAGCCAGTTTTTTGCATTTTCCATTTTCATATACGCCTACAGACCGACCGACTAATTTGCATACGTCATACGTAAATACGTACATAAAAAATTAATATTTTAACAAAAATAGCACAGGTCAAATATAACATCTACACATTACAGTACTTAATTTCTCCTGAGTCCCATGTATTTGGATATTTTTAACAGGAAGAGCATTTAGTGAATGGATATATTTGACATTTATGTACAAAATGTAAAAAGAAGATAGATCAAGAAGAAAAGAAATTGCATAATGCATGATTTTTTTTAAAGAATTTTAAAAAGCTTTAAGTGGACATTTAGCACCATATATGCATATGAACATCTCGGGGAAAAGATCAGCAAACTGTCTCCAAGGCACTTCAGAATCCGAACAAAAAATAAATTTATTTCTGAAATATTGGCATGACTTATGAGTGTATCTTTTTTTTCTTTGTAAGAGCGTAAACATTGCACTTCACAGAATGGTAAAAAACCCCTCTTCGAACTCAAGCTCGTCCAGGATCCATCAGGTCTAGAGGGGTAAAACGCAGCATAACAGAAGTGCAGCATCCGGACGCTGGAGGTATCTCCGGCTTGGTGTTTGGAGGAGAGATTCCCAGCTGTGTGGAGGCCCATCAGATGCATCTCCACACGAACACACTGAGAGACAGAGGAGACGCATTAATAAGAGTTCAGACAGACAGACGGACTGATGGACAAATGGATGGATGTCAGCTCACCTACAGTCGTTGCCTCCTACACTTATCACATATTTGTCGTCATAAGAGAAACGGATGTTGGTCACGTGGGCAGAGTGGCCGAAGTAACGCTTGTGTTTGGCCTGTGAAGAAACGCAAACCGTCAGTAAAAATATTAAAGGGGTCATATGACGTTGCTAAAAAGAACATTATGTTGTGTATTTGGTGTAATGCAATGTTTATGTGGTTTAAGGTTAAAAAACACATTATTTTCCACATACTGTACATTATTGTTTCTCCTCTATGCCCCGCCTTTCTGAAACCGCGTCGATTTTTACAAAACTCATCGGTCTGAAAAGCGAGGTGTGCTCTGATTGGCCAGCTATCCAGTGCGTTGTGATTGGCCGAATACCTCAAGCTAATGGTTTATATTGTTAATAATAATAAGGGTTAAAATAAAATGTTAATATGGATTTATATTAATAAGGATTAATATTGTTAACAATAAAGGGTTAATATGGTTAATAATAATAATGTTTAATAATAAGGGTTCATTTGGTTAATTATAATAAAGGTTAATAATAAAGATTAATAATAAGGGTTCATATGGTTAATAATAATAATATATATATACAGTGGGTACGGAAAGTATTCAGACCCCCTTATGTGATTAATAATAATAAAGGTAAAGTTTTAATATGGATAATACTAAGTGTTTAAAAATAGTGTTTAAATAATTAAATAAGGGTTTAAATATAAAGGGTTAATATGGGAATAATAATAATACTGTATATATATGAAATGGCTCATCCAATAAGATTTTAGATCAATACCTATGTTTTATTAAATCTATTTTGTAAAATAACTTTTAACTAACAGCATTTACTAATATATTATTGAAATCATAAGTCGTATCTGTTAATATTATTTAATGGACCTGAGGTGAAATGATCTAACAATGAACAGCTGTATTTTTATTAACATTAACAACGATTAATAAATGCTGAAACAACTGTATTGCTGATTGTTAGTTAAAGCACTAACTAAAGCTAACTAATGAAACCTTATTGCAAAGTGTTACCAAAACTTCATGTTTCAAGTGTTCACATGAGTTGAGATAAATATTATATCCAGCTTTATCCGCATACATACAGAATACACATGTAAAGTGATTTATACTATATGTGACCCTGGACCACAAAACCAGTCATAAGGGTAAATTTTTCAAAATTGAGATTTATACATCATCTGAAAGCTGAATAAATAAGCTTTCCATTGATGTATGGTTTGTTAGGATAGGACAATATTTGGCCGAGATACAACTATTTGAAAATCTGGAATCTGAGGGTGCAAAAAAATCTAAATACTGAGAAAATCGCCTTTAGAGTTGTCCAAATGAAGTTCTTAGCAATGCATATTACTAATCAAAAATTAAGTTTTGATATATTTACGGTAGGAAATTTACAAAATATCTTCATGGAACATGATCTTTACTTAATATCCTAATGATTTTTGGCATAAAAGAAAAATCAATAATTTTGACCCATACAATGTATTTTTGGCTATTGCTACAAATATACCCCAGCGACTTAAGACTGCTTTTGTGCTCCAGGGTCACATATAGTAAATCGCTACTGACAAGATTAACATTAAATGCGACTATGAGGCATGAAGAGATTAAGGTATTATAAATGTGTATTGTGAAAAACGCTATAGAAAATAAATTTGACTTGACTTGAGTTACGGCTGACTTACAAATTTCTCGGAGCAGGGGAAGTCGAAGAGCTTCACGAGTCCAAAGTCATCTCCGGTGACCACGTTCAGCCCGGCGTGAGAAACACAGGCGCAGTTCACGTCTGCTTTCTCTGCGTTACGCGGCCAGATGCCCAAAATCTCGTCACCCAGAACACTGTACAGGAGGAAGAGCTTTACTACAGGACGCTGACGTCATTTCTGAGGACCGTTTACTGCACAGATCTGTGTCCTCACCTGGTCCAGGTCGCCCAGGTGATCCGGTCAATCAGGGCTTGCTCTGTGACGATCTTCCCGCTGGGAACCTCATGAACCTGCCGCTTGTATGAACCGGTAGAGACCTGCACACAAAATATAAACTACACCTGTCATATCAGTGTTATTTACACAGACTACATTCACGCTAAATCGCAACACTGAACTAAACTGAACTGTATAATGACACTTTTGTGTTATGTAGTGTTGCTTATAGATGGATTGAACTCGTTTTGTAATTGATGAACTTTATAACATTGACATTGAACTGAACTGAATTGAGCTGACTATTGTCTTCTTTTTCAGCTGATATTAAATTTGTTTCATACCTTAACCATACAGCAAAAAATAGAATAAAATAAATTTAATATTATATATATTATTTTTTTTTATTTTTTGTTGTTGTAAACAGTGACGCTTAAGTATATTTTTGAATTATATATTTATTTGAATAATATATGTAGTTTCGACCTTCATATAAAAAAAAAAATAATAAATTAAATTATAACCAAAATATATTTCATATTATATATTTAGATAATACTATATAAATATTTTAATATATAATTTATTAATTAGTTGTAAACAGTGAAGCTTAATGAAATATATTTTCGAATTGAAAATATATTTAGTTTCAACCTTCATATACTAAATAATAATAATAAATATGGCCAAAATATATTCTATATATCTATCCATCTTAGAATATATAATACATTGTTGTACACAGTGAAGCAAATTTTTTAATTGAAAATATATTTAGTTTCAACCTTCATATACCAAAATATATTTCATGTGTTTCAGGGGCAAGAAAACACAGTTTAAAGTTTTTCTTCGAACGTGACACATGAATGTCTTTTTTTGGATTGAAATATACGGAGAGAAAAATATATTTAAAAAAAAATATATATATATTAATTATTTTTTAAATATATTTTCAAAAATATAGAAAAAGTGGTCAAACATAATGGTAGTAAATATATTTAGAAATATATATTTTTTTAAAGGGGTCATATGATGCGATTTCAAGTTTTCCTTTCTCTTTGGAGTGTTACAAGCTGACTGTGCGTTTGAGAGAGGCGGGGCATAGAGGACCTACAATAATGTACAGTATTTGAAAAATAATGTGTTTTTTGAACATTAAAGCATGTCAACATATTCTGTTACACCAAATACACAAAATAATGATCTTTAAAAAAGCATCATATGACCCCTTTAAATACAGTTGAAATTTTTTTGCAGCATGGGTTACAACATTAAAACTATTATTTTCCTGTTTTATAAAGTTGAATCTGCTTTCAAAAAATCTGGATTGTATAAAGCACCATATAAAAAAAGGTGACTTGATATGTTTTCAGGGATCAAATGAATGTGTATCTGTGCATTATTACTGATATATAGAAATGTACAGGAAATAGAAATTTGGCACAAAAATTAGTGAGGGTACTAACATCTAGTTAGCTAGATAGATAGTTAGCTACTAACATCTAAGCCAAAATTTAAAAAATATATATAAATTGCTTTTGTTGACTTTAATTCCATGCAATGTCCTTTATTTGTGGAAAAATGATATATAGAAATGTACAGGAAATAGAAATTTGGCACAAAAATTAGTGAAGGTCTCCCATTTTAGCTACTAACGTCTAAGCCAAAATGAAAAAAATATATATAAATTGTTTTTGTTGACTTTAATTCCATGCAATGTCCTTTATTTGTGGAAAAATGTGCATGCACAAAAACAATTTGTGTGCATGAATAAATATTTTGTTGCACTACATCTCAGCTATGTATGAATAAAAGGGCAGTATGTTATCAAAATGTTCTATTTGTGATTCTGCTCATCATGTTTTTGTACCTCGATGTATTTGCTGTCAGCAGAGAAGTCCAGCTGGATCACAAATCCAGGAATATCTTTGCAGTAGCCGATCCGGTTTAGAGACGGCCCCAGAGTCAGATCGTAGAAATCGACAGCGCACTCCACCGAGCCGACAGCCAGCAGCCGGTTATCAGAGCCGAACCTGCGTGAGAAACACCTGCGTGAGGAAAAACCTGTGCTTTTATGATCATGTGTTTTGTTGTGTAATAGCCATGCAGCGTGTCTCTTCTGACCGTATGTCCTGGATGGCCACGCTGCGGTCTCTCTTCTTGCCCCATACGGTCAGAGAATTCACCAGCAGCACGATGAACTCTCCGTTCTCCATCCCGATGGACACCATCTCACCGTTCGGACTGTACGCTGTGCACTTTGCCGGATGACCCAGACTGACTTTATTCAGGAGTTTCTGGAAGACAAAAAAATAATTAACCTTCTGGTGCACTTCAGCCATTTTTGATCGGAAAATTTTACGTTTCGTTTTTTTTTTTTAGTATTTTTTACTTCAGAATGTTGTGAATCTTGGTAAAGGTTTTGGCACTTGTTATGTGAACACATAAAAAAAATCATGATTCGAAAGGTTAATGGTCCTGAAAAAAATATTCACACTTGTACTCCTCGCAGTCAAAAATGACTGCATTGGAAACAAATTTCCTTTTCATTTCAACGTTTGGTAGTGCGCCCAAACAAAATCTTATTGAAAGCTCATTTTTTAAGATATCAACCTCAAATTTGGAACACAACTTGTTTAGATTTCTGGCTTTGATTTTCACACAGATTTACAGTAAAACATATTGAAAAATATATATTTCATATAAATATTTGAAAATAGTATTATTGTGCATTTTTCATAACAATAAACTACTTTTTTAAATTCCCTTTTTTTTTTAGACCAAACTGCTGTGCTCCAAACTAGCATTCAAGATTTATGACAGTTTAAGTTGGAAATTAAATTATGCTCAAAAAGTGGTTAACAGGAAAAAAATTGATTATAACTACAGCATAAGTACAATTTAGTACCATAAAATTCCCTTAAAAACTACAAAATATTAAAATCATTATCAAACTAAAATATGGTGCATTCATTCATTTCATATATATATATATATATATATTCAGTCATTTTTGACCACGGCACGAGGAGCACCAAAGGGTTAATAGATATGCAGTACTGTTCAAAAGTTTGGTACGATTTTTTTTAATGTTTATGAAAAGTCTCGTGCTCACCAAGAAGATCTTAAAAAAAACAAAACAGTAATATTGTGAAATATTATTGCAATTTAAAATAGCTGTTTTCTATGTGAATAAATGTCAAAATGTAATTTATTTCTGTAATCAAAGCTGAATCAGGGTTTCTGCAGACTTGAACAAGTTAAATTTAAGACTTTTTAAGACCTTTTTAATACCACCTTATATGAAATTTAAGACCTAAACCTGTAATGGAAATACACATTTTATTACATACATATATGTAATATTTAATGTGTATAAATTAAAAAGATTAAACTTTTAGAAAACACGTCACGAATTTGTGGAGGTTTATTCCTTTTGACTGTGTGTCATATGTTTTTAAATGCAATCTGCGTGATGGGCGATTTGGCTCTTTGGATTAAGCAATGCATAAATACATGATGCTGTTTTGTTCATAATTGTTTATGCAATTTACGAAATTATATTTGATTTACATGAGTTAATTTAGACGTAATGCAAGTTTTTTTATAGATAGTTATTTCCTTGCGTTGACAATTTAAACGTGCTGCATTATTTTGTTCATTGCGCCCTCCTGTGGCCTCGGGAGACAAGACAAAAGTTTCCTTAAAACCTATTTATGCATTTAAAACATGAGAAATTAGATATTTGTTTAATTTTTATTGTGTGTTTGACTGTTAAAACAAAAAATATTTGTTGTTTGTCTCAATAAATTGGGTTAATTTAAAAATACAGTGGTTAAATTTTATTTTTTTTCTATTGCTCTGTTTTAAAAAAGGTTATAAAAAATGTCAATAATTATCGATACCGTACGATATGAAACATTACATCGATACATTTTTGAGCTATATCGCCCCGCCCTAATTAAAACTATTAATTTCATCATCTTTTTGCCCCCATACTTTTGAACGGTAGAGTAAACACCCCTCCTTTCACTCTACTACCCACAATCCCTCACCTTATCCGCCAGGTCCCAGATGCGGATGGTTCCATCATCGCTGGCAGAAATGAAGACGTCTTTGGAGGGGTGTGTGGCCAGACCCCAGATGCGTCCCTGCGTGTGTCCGTTGATCATGGTGTTGGAGGCGGCGTTCTTCTCTCCCACCTCGATGATCTCGCCATCCTTCGTTCCCACCAAGATCTTTCCCTGCCATCCAATAAAGAAGCATCTTACCACTGTCTAAACTTACACTTGAAATCACTGCTTGTGTCTATGTGAAGTCTGCAGAAACCGAAAGCATGACTGACCTTTCCTCTGCACACAGATCTGACCGTCTCAACAGGAAGTCCTGTCTCCAGCTGAAACGCTCTGCATCTCTTCATTTCCTGATCCCACAGTTTCACAGCGCCGCCCTCTTTAGTCCTGCACATACATAATATACACATCAGTGAGGCGATGACATGATGCTCATTTTTTGTAGTATAACTTTAAAAAGTTGACCTTAAAAAATATTTTCTATTAATATTAATATTTCTATTTCTAATTTCACTTAATTTCTATTTCAAATAAATGTTCTTGTGAACTCTATTCATCAAAGACCCCTGAAAAATAAAATAAAATTTAAATAAATAAAATTCAAAACCAAATAAATTAAGGTTTCCACAAAAATTCAACATTGATGATTAAAATACATGTTTCTTCATGTTTCAAATCAGCACATTAGAATGATTTCCGAAGGATCATGTGACACTGAAGACTGGAGTAATGATGCTGAAAATTCAGCTTTGATCACAGGAATAAATTATATTTTAAAGTATATTCACATAGAAAACATCTATTATAAATAGTAATAATATTTCATAATTTGTTACTGTATTTCTGATCAAATAAATGCAGCCTTGGTGAGCAGAAGAGACATCTTTCAAAAACATTAAAAAATCTTACTTTCTCCAAACTTTTGAACTTTTATTCAAGGTGTAAGAATTTTTTTCTCTATGGTCAAAACAATTTAGCTGAAAATGATTTTTAAAAATCATATGATGAACTTGTGTGTACTGTGTAGAGCTGAACTCACGGTCTCTCTTTGCCTCCAGTCACTATGAGTCCGTCTCTGAGCGTGGTGTACATGGTGAACACTGGTCCTGTATGAGCTTTAGCCACCACACGCACCAGGAAGTGCTCCCGCCACACGTACACGTCACCGTTTATGGCCCCCGTGAACGTCAGGTTATTCTGCCAGACAAAACACACAAGAGAGAAAATTACCATTTCATATGCACATACTGTATATGTATGAAACATAATATACAGTAGTCTTATTGTTACTACATTATTTATTTATGTAGTGCTTTATATAATACAGATTGTTTCAAAGCAGCTGCACATTAATAAAACAGTAAAATAATAGTCAATGATGTAACATTCATCAATTATAAAACTCTATTTGGGCTGCAAAAAAGATGTGTCATTATTCAGCTAAATTTAGATTTATTATAGTTTCGATTCAGTTCATATTACTATATGTATATATTATTATATATTTATATACATATATAATTTTTTGTCAAAAGAAACATTTGAGAGAGTATATATATATTTTTTTATTTTTTTTATTTTATTATTATTTCACCTTTTATTCTATAAATGTATGCTGTGTAACTACCAGGATTATTATAGTAAATTAAAATGACAACCACAAAAACCCATCTTTGTTACTTGAAATAAAATAATAAAAAAACTTAAAAAATAATTTCAGCTAGTTGCCAAAATATAAATATAAAAACTCATTCAAAATGAATTAATAAACAAACGCATATTTAAATGCAATAAATAACTGCATAAATACATGTAAAAATAACTGCACTAAATAAATGCATGAATAAATGTATACAAGCTTAAACGAATGAATACAAAAACATAAGTAAATGCTTAAACTACATATAAATAACTATAAATAAATGCAATAAAGCACTAAATGCACAGATAAGTGCATAAATTCATAAATAAATGAATATAAATAACCGAAAAAATGAATGCGAAACTGAATGCACTAAATGCATAGAGATAAATGCATGAATAAATGCATACAAGCATAAATGAATGAATGAATGAATACATTAACACATAAATAAATGCATACTGCATAACTGCATATAAACAACTGTATAAATAAAAGCAAAAATAAACACACTAAATGCATAAATGTACTAAATTCATAGAAAAATGCATAAATAAATGCATATAACATTGTGATGAAAAGCAGCAAATATTCATCACACTACACCTGTATGGCTTGAAAAAATAGCCTGTTGCTGGAAAAGTTACTCTAATTAGAAAAAAATGTAGTTGTACAATATAGTGTAGAACAAATGAAAATGAAAATTAATTAAAAAAAACTTTAATTTCAGCTAGTTGCCAAGGCAACTTTCTCATTTTCAATTAGTTAAAATTCATAAAAACTCTACAGACATATTAAAAAAAATAATAATAAAATAAAAACGACAACACACAACAAAATGACTAAACTTTAATAAAAATTCAAATTGAATTAAAATGAGAACAGGAAATATAAAGATAAAAACTCATTCAAAATTAATTAATAAAAACTGTAATGTTATCTCAATGATACTAAATAACACTGGTAACTACAATTATTCTTTAATAAAGAAAATAAATGATTTATATGCATGTAAACGGTCACTACTGTGCTTGTGAGCAACACAATTAACCCCAGATTGGGAATCATTCCTGTAATCAGTGTACTGCAATATCAGCTTAATAAGCATAAATGAGCGACTCACGGCTCCAAAGGCTACAGACAGCATGGTCTGCATGCGCCCGTCCTCCACCGCTCCGATCACACCTTTCTTATAGAGCAGAGAGCCTCCCACCAGCGTCCAGAACTTGATGTGTTTGATTCCCACCGACACAAACTGAGTGTCCGAGTCAGGCCTGAACTCCACCACGAAGATCCGGTCGCTGTGACCGCCCTTACTGCAAACCCTAGAGCCTGAGATCACATGATGAAAGCATTCATAACAGCGTCCTGCTGCATCTCTGCTGAGTAAAGGCCATTACTTGTTTCTTTCTCATTTTAAGATGCTAATGTCAAAGACAGTGCCTATTTTAAAAGTCAGAATTGTGAGACATAAACTCAAAATTATGAGTACCAGTGTTATTTTAGTATCATTAAAATACCATTATTGTTTTTATTAATATTTAGAATTTTGATATTTTCCTTTTTCACTGTACTTTTAGTTGAAGTGTTAGTAATTTTGTTGTATGTTTTTATCATTTTTTTTTTTTTAAATACGTCTATGTAGGTTTTTTATTACTTTCAGTTTTAGTTTTAGCTATTTTAGTGGCTTAACTAAGTTCAAATAATTGAGAATGAGAAATTTTGCTTTGGTAACTAGCTGAAATAGTTTTTTCTTTTTTTAAGTTTTATTTCAGTTCATGTTTTTTTCATTTCTAGTAACAAAAATGTTTGTCGCATTGTTTTAATTAGAATTGTGAGTTTTTCTAAGTTTATATATTTTTTTTGCAAGAAAAAAGTATGAATTTTGAGATGTTAACTCACAATTGTGAGTTTATAACTTTATTTTCTTTATTAAATAATTTTTGTATTTTTATTAATATTTAGAATCTTTATCTTTATATTTTCCATTTTTGTTTTAATTTTCACATTTTGGATTCCTGTCTTCCTCGAAGGAGATTACAACTATTTTTTCCATTCTCAGCCCATTTTCACATGTATGAATGAATCTGAATTTATGCCTAATCCTGATTTCAAGGACAGAATTATGGCCAAACAAGAGCCAGATGTTTTCTGCATCATCTGTGGGTGTTTTTCTACACCAAACAGTGACAGAAGATAGCAGATTTTGTGAAACAAAACAAAAAAGCTTATTTATTTATAAACTTGTGTTTATGTAAAGTTATTTTACATTAAATGAAGCATTTAATCATATTGTTCAGCTCCTTTGCAGATTGCAAGTTAAATGATAAATTTTGAATACTTCCTTTTGTCATTAAAACTGAAAGATTTGACTGCTTTTGTTATTTTGATAAGCTGATAAACATATAATTTGAAAAATCATTCTTATTTTGTAAACAAACTGCACGTGATGGAAAGTTTTATTGCTATTTTTGAACTCAGCATCATCAAATTAGCTAATATTAGGCTTTTTAGCAAATCAGCAGAATTGTTTCCCAGCTGCAGGGCTACTGTAAGTACACACTGAACACTGGTTTTCACACACCTTCCTGCCATCTCCACACAGTGATGGTGTGCTCCGGATCCACTCCCACAGACAGCAGCAGTTTTCCCGTGGCGCTGAAGTTGACGTATCCGATCCCTTTAGCATGAGAGCAGCGCAGCACCGACAGCGTCTGCTTGCTCATGGCGTCCCACACGTGAATGGACGGCGCCAGGCCTACAGACACACACAGACACAGACCGACATCACATTATGACCGTCAATACTCACAGCTTAAGGAAAAACAGTGCCTCCCAAACTGCTCCTTTCAGCACAAGACAAATAAAATCCATTAGGTGTATTAGAAGACACTGATTATGCAAATGTTGTGGGTTATTTATATTAATAAACAGCGTTGGGAAGCTACGAAACTGGCTTAAAGCAGCTGCACTGCAGTAAAGATGCATTTAGAAAAAGTAGTAAGCTAAACTACAAGCTACTAACAAGAAGCAGTTAACTAACCTATTTAAAGGGGGATTATTTAACTTCTTATTGAAGCAGAGCTGTATTTTTCTGGCACAAAAAAGAGGTTATTAATGAATTTTTTGAACAGACAAATTTACACTAAATGCAACAATAAATGCAGTACATGCATAGATAAATGCATGAATAAATGCATAAAGTTTAAATAAATGGATACATAAATGCATAAATGCAGTAACTGTATAAATACATGTAAACAAACACAAACAAAATGAATGAATAAATACAAAACTAATACTAATACTTAAACTAAATAAATGCAAAAAAGCACTAAATGCATATAAATAACTGAATAAATAAATGCAAAATTGAATGCACTAAATGCATACATAAATGCATGAATAAATGCATACAAGCATAAATGAATTAATTAATAAATAAATGCATACTGCATAACTGCATATAAACAACTATAGATAAAAGCAAAAATAAACACACTAAATGCATAAATTCAAAAATGCACTTCATTCATAGAAAAATGCATAAATAAATGCATATAACATTGTGATGAAAAGCAGCAAATATTCAACACACTACACCTGTATGGCTTGAAAAAATAGCCTGTAACTGGAAAAGTTAATCTAATTTGAAAACAATAGTTGTACAATATAGTGTAGAAAAAATGTAGTTAGTGTCGCTACTTTTAGCTAGTTACTTTCCAACTCTGTTAATAAATGGCAGGATGAGTTTGGGATACTATTATGAGTTCATAATGATAGTCCTCAGGGTTTTTAACATGGCAGAGCAAACACACGCCGCAAGCATGTCAATATTAGATATGTATTCTAGCGCTGAGGAAGGAAATGAGGCATCATGACTCTGAGATGATAGAAAATCAGGCCAATCTGCTGCATGATGCTTCATGCAAACATGAGAATGTATTCTTCAGAGCGGTGGTCTTTACCGAAACTGGGACATAAAACACGAGGGAAATGAGAGGATTGATTGATATAGAGCAAATGATTTTAATCTGAAATCTGTGGCATCCAACTTCAAGACCCTCATGCACCACAGACATCAGTTATTCGATCAAACGTGATATTGAAGATTGATAAAGATTCAAAACACATTAAGTGATCGTTTCTATGACATGCTGTTAAGAACCCAATAAATTTATTTAAACTTTACTTTGGAAAAGTTTTTTAACCAGAGCTGTATTTTTCTGGCGCAAAAACAATGAGGATTTTTAATGAATTTTTGAAAATGCATTAAAAAATGCAACCATAAATGCATAAATACATAAACACATGAATAAATGCATGTCAATAATTGCAAAAATAAATGCACTAAATGCAAAGATAAATGCATGATTTAATTCATACATGAATAAATAAATAAACCAAATTAAATAATGTCAACTTTAATTTGAAAGAAAAAGTCTATACAGGGTTTAAAGCATAAATGTGAAGTTTGTATATTTATTCAAGTATTTGTATTAATTATTCTGTTCAAGAATGTTATTTAAGATGTAATATTTTAGTTTGCTACTCTTATTATTCTTTTTAAGTTATATTTTAAAATCTTTTTGAAAGAAGTCTCTTCTGCTCACCAAAGCTGCATTTATTTGATTAAAAATAAAGCAAAAACAGTAATATTGTGAAATATTTTTACAATTTAAAATATCTGTTTTCTATGTGATTATAATTTAAAATATAATTTATTTCTGTGATCAAATCTGAATTTTCAGCATCATTACTCCAGTCTTCAGTGTCACATGATCCTTCAGAACTCAAATTTTAATCAGATTCTTTGATGGTTACTTCAACTGCATTATTTTAGTTTATTTATTTATTTAACATTATTATGTTATATTAAAATGTTATTATATATTTATTATTTGATGATTATTATACTGCTGATTATTTATTGCAGTAACTGCATTATTTTAGTTTGTTATTATAAATATTTATTTTATACATTATATTAAAACATATTATTATGCAAGTTATTCTTATTTAGTTTCTTCTTCTAAACGGATAAATCTGTGTGCATATCATATGGTGGTTACCATATTAACTGGTTTAACAAGCGTTTAACTGGTAACATAAAATCTCATATTAACGTCACAAACTTAACACTGAATCTAAATTAATGTCTATGGAACTCAAGTGTTTAACTTGTATTGAACCCGGATCATTGCTTTAAAGTAGAAATGCATGTTTTAGTTCTAGGTTGGAGCCCCCAAAAAATCGGTCCTGGATTTCTGGAGTCAAACACAAAAGGTCAGTGAGACAAAATTAAGTCAGATGGCAGGAGATTCTGCTGTCCTACCTGGCAGCTCAGCGAAGTCGCCTGTGTGTTGGTGTGTTGGATGAGAGGATGGGACAGTGATGAACAAAAATGAGAGAAGCCAAAGCAGAATTACGTGAGAGATTCAAAATATTAGCAAAAATCACAAGCAGGCTTGTTATCAACACAAAACCAAGCAGTGCACGCTGAAAGCAGCAACGCAAAAGTCAACGCAAGCGAATGAAAATGATTCAGATGGTGAAAATTACATCGATTTGCATAAAGAAATGTGTGTAGATGCCAGGCTGTTCATTAGCACACGTACCGATCTGACCGGTGGCGATGATGTTGAGATATTTGGGATGTTGATTGACAGTCAGACAGAGGATGTCATCCGTGTGCTCCAGATAAAAGCTCTGAGTTCCTGCAAATCACAAACGCCTTCATCTACAACTACTTTAATTCTCCAATCCATGTTAAACAGCATGCATGCAGTTTTAATGAGCTCATATTAACAGAAAGACTACATGTACTTTTAAAAAACTATCACACTGCAATATTATTTTAGTAAACAGCAAAAAAATACTTCTCTCATACACTGCTTCAAAAGTTTCGGATCAGTAAGAGTAAGATTTTTAAAATGTTTTTAAAAGAATTCTCTTCTGCTCATCAAGGCCGCATTTATTTGATTAAAAATACAGTAAAATCAGTAATATTGTGAAATATTATTACAATTTAAAATAACTGTTTTCTATGTGATTATAATTTAAAATATAATTTATTTATGTGATGCAAAGCTGAATTTTCAGCATCATTACTCCAGTCTTCAGTGTCACATGATCCTTCAGAAATCATTCTAATATGCTACTTAAGAAACATTTCTGATTATTATCAATGTTGAAAACAGTTGTATAAAGTTGAATAAAAGCAAGAATGCATTTCAAACTTTTTAAACTGTATATTCTAATTATAAATTCTATGTAAAAAAGTTGTCAGGCAATTCAGACAAAAGTACAAAGGCAGCGCTCATTTATATAAAATAACGTCATGAGACTTTGCTCTCAGCCAAAACTATTTGCTCTGGAACAAATAATAGATTAATCTCCCAAAACATAGCAGCAAACTTTCAAATAGGCTTTATCGTTATTAACAAACCGCATATTTGAAGTCTAAACAAGTATATTCTCGCCTAAAAAACTCTTAAAACTACACTCCGTGACACAAAAACAGTATTATTTATTAAGTTATAGTGGAGTTGGGCGTCTGCCATGACACTCGCTGTGAGAAATACTGCAAGCGGAGTGATACAAACGGTTGGAGTGCTGTTATTACTAGAATATCACACTCCTCTCAGCCAATCAGAATCAAGAACCAGAAAGAACTGTTGTATAAATATATATATGAAATTATACTTCAGTATAATATAATAAAGTACACATTTGATTAATCATTTTTAAATATGTCATGACTAAAACTGGTTTAGTTCATTTAACTTCATCACTTGAAGTTTTTTTTTGAGAAGGGTATAACTGCAGCCCGGAGATCTCCAAATGGGGGCGGGAACTCCAAAACGGGGTGGGAGCTCCAAAATAGGGCGTGGCTTCCTCCCATTGACAGACAGGCACATGACACGCATGCGCAATTTTCCCCCCAAGTTTTATTTTGAAATGTAAGTCAATAACAATTGGCTGAAGCCAGAGCCAATGGTGAAAGTCTTTGCGGGAGGAGACCCCGCCCCATTTTGGAGGTTCTGCCCACTTTTGGAGTTCACGCCCCATTTTGGAGATCTCCGGTCTGCAGTTATATCTACTTGCTTTTTTTAAACAGATGTGCAGTTCCAACTGCAGCCTGTAGAGGTCAGCAGCGCCTCATGCCTGATCTGGAATCAGATTAGTCTCAGAAGACACGCCCACAATCTCATCCGATGCATAAAGTCAAACTGTACTGTGTTTTCCCTGTTTATTAGCCACATTTTGAGACAAGAGCCAGACACCAAGCCAGAAATCAGAAGTCAGCAGTGATGCTGAATCAGGACTGTACCAGCAGAGAGGTTCTGAATAACAGCAGCGGCGGCTGTGTGGAAGATGATGTCAGCTCCATCATTGAGGTAGTGAAGGTTGTTTCGACAATCAAAGCCCCTGTAGCCAAACACGTGATCCAGAGACAGTTCCTACAAACACACACAGACATCAACACACACACTGACAATAATGAGGACAACCCTGACTCCTCATGAGCTCATAACCCCACTGACCTCGACCATTTTCTTCTTCTTTGTGATGTTGTTCTTCACCAGTTTGTCAGGTAACGGCGCGGCGCGGCTCACTGGAGGCCTGTAGGAAACAAATAATGATGTTTTGACATGAATAAATACAATTTGTCCCTCAGTATATTTGTCTTCATTTGCATTATAAACATCCTTAAATCAAAGGGGTCATATGATGCGATTTCAAGTTTTCCTTTCTCTTTGGAGTGTTACAAGCTGATTGTGCATAGATAAGATCCCTGAAGTTGCAAAGACTAAAGTCTCAAAACCAAAGAGATATTCTTTATCAAAGTTAAGACTCTGCCACGCCCCCCTAAAACGGCTCGTTCTAACACACCCCACATATCTACCCCCACTATGTGGAAATATTTGCATAATCCCGCCGCAAATGTGCACGCAAAGAAAGAAGGCATGGTGTCAGTAACCGCAGTTAGTGTTATTATGGTAAGGGGGGTTTCATTTTTGACGCGTGGTTGTGGTGTTCGGCCAATCACAATGCACTGGTTCAGCTGGCCAATCAGAGCAGACTGTGCTTGTCGGAAGGAGGGACTTTGTAGAAAACGAAGCGTTTGAGAGAGGCGGGGCATAGAGGACCTACAATAATGTACAGTATTTGAAAAATAATGTGTTTTTTGAACATTAAAGCATGTCAACATATTCTGTTACACCAAATACACAAAATAATGATCTTTAAAAAAGCATCATATGACCCCTTTAAATCAAGATCTATTTACTTGAGATGCAAAATGACTTGATGTTAATCCTTTCTGATAAATGCATCAAGTTTATGCTTAAAACATGAACAAATATCTGCCAGTTGGATCATCAAAATCTATTTAATTCAAAGGGAAAAAGGTTATTTATTTATTTATACATTTTTATATTTATTTTGACCCCATTTGGCAGATATTTTTCTTGTTTTAAGCATAAACTCACTTCATTTTGATACATTTTTCAGAAAACAAGAATTAATATCGGTTATTTTACTTCCAACGTAAATTTATCTAGATTAAAAAAAAACAAAAAAAAACAACTGTAATGGAAAATAAGACAAAACTACTAAGAAGGAAAATAATTTTTTGTAGTGCTCACGCATTTCATCTGCATTTTTCAGTTAATTTTTTATTACCGCTCATCCACTAGGATCTCCTTCTGTTGTTGGTGTGGTTTCACGCCTGTCATTTGCCGTATACTGACAGCGTAGATCTTCGTCGTGTAATCCATGCTCTTTTCCCGAGCGACGTCACTGTCGTACCCTAAACACACAAATGTTAAATAAAATTGAAAATGTAAAATTAAATAAAATTAAATAATAAACTTTAACATTTAAATTTAGAATTCACATTGAAATTTTTCATTTAAACTTAAATTATAAATAAATGTAATCACAAACAAAAACAAGAGCATCACCTCCATCCTCCTCAGCGTCGTCGTCTGATTCCTCGCTGTCCACGGCTTTGCTCTCGCGTGGACCAATCCCCTCTCTCGCCCAGATCATGAGGGCCGAGTCGGCCCCGCCCACCGACAGCAGCATCGCGTCGTCATTGGACCATCGAACGTTCGTCACATTGGCACTGTGAGCCACATACTTTTTAAACTTGGCAAACTGACCCTGTATAAAATAAAATAAAGCATCAATAAACTACGTTCGACTTGTTTTATGCAGAAACCTCTGGTTTTATACAAGACTGTTCAAAAGTTTTTTTTTTTTATTAAAATGTAAAAAAATTTATTCATATTTTTATTCAGCGTGGATGCAATTTTGCCACTTTTACAATATAATAAATGATAAATAATAAAATATAATAAAAATATAATAATAATGCTGTTCTTCTGAACTTTCTATTCATCAAAAATGTATTGCGTTTCCACAAAAATATTAAAGGCACAATATGTAGGTCGCATTTTCAAAACAATAACAAAGGCGAAGCTTGATGACGCTATGAAGGAGAGTGGAACGATGGGGGGATGTCGTTTTCACCATCCAGAGATGTCCGAATCATGTTCACGGATGTAATGAATAATTTTTTTTTATTACCTGTACCTTCCAAAGTTATTCAAACAGTGAATAAATTATATAGCGAAAGCGAGCAAAGAACATTTAACGTTACATTGTCAAAGAACAGTATGCCTGACTTTAGTCTAACACGAGTTTAAGCACTCTCAGAAAACTCCCGTTATAATCAGTAAAGCTGTCTAAACACTGTTTGATGAATTAATCTCCTACTTACATCATACGTAACTTACATCAATTCTTTTAAATGAAGAAAGTAGCCTACTCTTTGTGATTGGTTTTCGGTCCTTCGTATTAAACTATACATACATGCATGGTGCTGTTTTTTTTTCAAATTGTTTCAGCAACTTGATTAATTATATATGGTTTATAAACATTATTTTAAACATTATGCACTTTTTTTCCAAAGATAGTCGTGTTATTTTATTACGCTTTGAAGAAACGTGCATAATATTTTGCTCGATGCGCCCTCTTGTGGCCTCAGGAGAGAAGCCAAAAGCTTTTTTTCCCCCTAACTGAAATTATGCCTTTTAAATTCGAATATAATTCGAATTTTGATAATATTTAATTAGAAAATTCGAATTTAGTTTTTCAGTCATTTTGACAGCCCTAACTCATCTAAACGCCTCTGATTGGCCGCTGCGTTCATAAACTCAGCAGACTCGTGTGTGATTGGTTATGACGTGCAACACTGTAAAAGATTCATGGTGCAACATTGAGCAGATCTAAATTTAATGCTGCAGTCAACACTTTTAATTTCATTTTCATTTTATTCGCGACTGCTGTAATGGATTTAGTTTAACTGCAGCAGCATTTTTGTTCACGTGTGTTGCCATAGTTTCTACAAGCGGAAACCGATAGCACGGATATTACGTCATTGATAGATGACAATGAACCAGGACGAGCCATTATTTAAAATTGGAATTTCTCTGGATTTACAAATCCTTGGGGACTTTTGGGATAACGTAAGTGCACAACTGCATGAAATATATGTGCAAGTGTTTTTTGGATATTTTATTAAGAAAATCTTACATATTGTGCCTTTAAGTAATTTTCCACATTGATAATAATCAAAAATGTTTCTTGAGCAGCAAATCAGCATCTTAGGATGATTTCTGAAGGATCATGTGACACTGAAGACTGGAGTAATGATGCTGAAAATTCAGATTTGATCACAGAAATAAATATTTTAACAGATATTCACATAAAAAATATCTGTTTTAAATTGTAATAATTTTTCACTTATTTTAGAGTATTTTTGATCAAATAAATGCAGCAGAAGAGCAGAAGAGACTTCTTTCAGAAACACTAAAAATCCGACCCTAAATGCTTTAACGGCAGTGTATATGAATATATGATGTGATTTTGCTGCTGTCAGACCTTGCAGGGGAAGCTGAAGAGCTTGACGAAGCCAAAGTCGTCTCCAGTGGCCAGCAGCTTCCTGTCTTTGGTAAGTGAAGAGGCGTTGACGAAGCTGAGCGTCGGCCAGATGCCCTCACAGGTGGGACCCAGCACTGACGTCCATGTGGCCCATTCCATCTTCTCAAACTGAACACACACAAACACACAGTTACGTGATGAGAACACTTGAGTTGGCGATATATCTGGCTGAGTGTGTCGTCTCTTTACCTCTGAACTGCTGATAGTTTGTCGTCTTCCACGTGGCGCTTCAAAAAATAGCTGCTCTTTGGCACCAGTGTTGACTTGAAGCAGTTTTCCTGCATTAATACACACACACTAAAAGCTTGATTATGTCCTTACGCATTTGTTTCTTTCTTTGCTAAAATGATGGATTTCTGCAGGTGCTGTTTTAATTTTCCCAAAGCAAAATACATATTCTTACAGCCAGGGGACAAAATTAATAGTCAAAAGTGAGAAAAATTGGTTTTGTTGAGTAATTCATCAGTAACCGTTAACTCTGCAACAAAATGCATGACTTATAATACACATAATGACCTTTGCTGTCACTAACATGCAAGGAATAACTGCAAAAAACAAAACAAAAGAAATGCTGTTTCCAAATAAAAAGTCAATGCAAACTAGAGTTTCATGTCCAGCAATTTCAATTGAAATGCATGTGTAGATTGATTTTAACTGTAACGCTCAACTCATCACATGTAGAGAGACATTAACTTGCATATTATTGCTTGAATCTATATTTGTGAGTTCTGTATGTTTGGATTACCGCGGACGTCCCAGTCCACATGTGTGATACAGCTGGACGCTCCTTTACAGATGCCCACCCGAAAAAAAATTTTACCTCAGACCTCGCATGAGTTTCCTTCGTGTCAGTTGCGGCGAGCTCAAAAGTGACCACGCGAAAGACGAGAAGGTGTGGGATTATTTTGAATTAGAAGGACAGCAAAACCATCTGTGATTCTGAATCGGAGATCTTTCAAATGTGGCAGAAGATTAGCTAATGCACCTCTCTTAAGTTTCCGGACGGCCACCATGCGATGGTTGGCCGAAAGCTCCCAGATCCGCAGCGTTTTGTCGTCACTCACAGTGGCACAGATGGGCAGCAGTGGATGAGCAGCGAGGCCCCAAACTTCCCCCTCCATATGACCCTAAAACACACGTCAAACACAGACTTCAACTAGTTGAGCAGCCTGACCTTCTATCTTTTTACTCTGCATCTGTATTTGCAGCTGTATATTTGAAAGTGACACACACCTGTACGAGTAAAGTCATGGGGCCGCTCTTGTCGATCTCCAGGATCTCTCCGTTTTTGGTGCCGACCAGAATGTGTCCGTGTCCCAGAGTGATCGCTTTGATGGATGGGTTGTCCTCCAACAGCAGCCCTAAGAAATAAATTTGTTTCATTAAAAAAACTCTAAACACTTAATTTAACAAACACTTTATTTATTGAAAATATGAATTGTTTTTGTAATATTTGCATTGTTATATAGAAACATAGTGTAAAATTTGTAGTACCATTAAATCCCCTCAAAATACAAAATATTAAATAATAAATATTACTGAAACAAAATATAGTACATTCATTAAACAAAATTAAAAAGTGTATTAATTTAACATAAACAATGTATTAGTTGAAAATAATATGCATTATTTTATTACAATTTGTATTATTTTATATAGGAATAAATTGTGTTTTAGAGGTGAATACTGCCTAGTATCATTAAATACAAAAAATTAAATAATAAATATTATTGAAAAAATATAGTACAATCATTTCATTAAAACACTGCATTAATTACAAATAATATTAATTGTTTTTTCTAATATTTATATTTACATATAATTTTTATTTTATATAGAAATAAATATTTTTAGAGGTAAATATTGTCTAGTACCATGAAATCCCCTCACAATACAAAATATTAAATAATAAATATTATTGAAACAATTTCATTAAAACAACACTGCATTAATAAAAAACATTAATTGTTTTTTTCAAATATTCATATTTACATATTATTATTATTATTTTATATATAAATAAATATTTTTTAGAAGTAAATATTGTCTAGTACCATGAAATCCCCTCACAATACAAAATATTAAATAATAAATATTATTGAAACAATTCATTTCATTAAAACAACACTGCATTAATTAAAATTTATATGAATTGTGTTTTCCCTAATATTTATATTTACATATTATTATTTCATATAGAAATAATTTTTTTTAGAGGTAAATATTGTCTAGTACCATGAAATCCCCTCACAATACAAAATATTAAATAAGAAATATTACTCACACAAAATATATTACATTCATTTAAAAAAATGTCTGTTTTGAGGATTTATAATCACCCTTAGATGAAGGCGAGAGCGCCGCCCTCTTGATAGCGTACGTCTTCAGACATCTCTCGAACATGTCGTCCCACAGCTCAACAACTCCATCTTTACCCCCCGTCACAAAACCCTTCAGGTCACAACACACCATTAACAGCTAAGAAATACATTTGTACCTACTGTTGAACTATATTTAATGCACAGACTAAGCAGGATGCCAAGTACTCTGTATACAATAGGGATGGGCATTCCAAACAAAAATAATATTAGAAAATCGCTGGGTATTATTCGATTATTATTCGAAAATCGCACACCTCCCCCGCATGCACGCACAAACACCCATAAACAGAGAGAGAGGGAGAGAGACGAGATTCACGCTTTCAATCTGTATAATAAACTGTTTAATTTAGAAGATAGGCTACCTTAACTCAAGCCATATAATGATTGTAACGTGCTGAAACATATTAATATAATAAACATAACCGAATGACGGCACTTATTAACATAACAGTCTGTCGATTAGCATAAATCAACTGCTCATAAGAATAAGATATTTCCATTTCAAAAAATGGAACCCCTAAAGGGAATAGATACGAGATGGGAGGAAAAATATACGTTACTTCAATATCTTCTGTCGCAATTATATCTTTGGGTAATTATACTGTATATAAACTGCGGGAATCAGGGAGCCGTTATTAATATGCGAGGCATTGAAATCGCTTTTGAACGCGCGCTTGTTTTTTACTTTTACTTTCGAGATTCGCGAACACGCGTATCGAGCAGCACTCTGCAGTACTTACCACACATTTTACAAGATTAGGTGTTTGTCAGTGCTGCTCAGGATCTGCAAATCATTCGCCATCATCCTATCAGTCATCTCTCCTTACTCTGTTTATGTGGTAAGTGAAATGTTATGTACTGTAATGTAACAGGCTACCGTTAGCAAGCGGCTAACCATGTCCCTTTAGTGGCTCCGTAGAACGCGTTATTTGTTTTCCGCGCCTTTCTAAACACAGATTCAGCCACACCTCTAACCCAGTCGGGGGTGTTTGTGGTCCGCACAGAACTCTTATTTGACATCGTCCCAAGTTACTGTAATTATATTATATGCATACGTTATATGCTACGCAAGTCTTTTTTATGCCACGCAAGTCTACAGTGTGCG